AATCAAATAAGTAAACAACTATAAACAAGTAAATAGTCATTGATGTACTCATGGCTAAGGAGTAAGAGATTAAAATTGTAAAGACAATTTTTAAAAAAAGTTAAAATATTAAGTTTTGAAATTTACTCACAACTTTCAACATTAATTTTATATTCTTGAATTGTTTATTCATTACTTTTAAGAGTCATCAAGATGAACGACAAAATGTTGATATAGTAATATAAAATTACGTTAGATTCTGCAAATAATCAAAGGTAAAACATTCGATTTCTGATAATGATACTTATTGAAATGGACTCATGCAACCGAAATATATTAATTATTTACTCAAATATATTTGAGTAAAAAAAGAGTAAGTAAAACAATAAAACCATCTCACTAACTCACTATATAAAAAAAACCATCTCACTAACTCAACCGATTAATCTCACCCTATCATATAGGCTCGCTAAGAATGAAGATGACAATATATCATATTTATCATAGTTATTCTTATATGAGCATGACCCTCGAATTCACCAATCATATTACTCTTACACGTGACGTATAGTATTTTAGGTTACGTATATCATAATATTTTAAGAACAAGTTTTAAATAAGGGGTGGAGTTTTTTAAAAAACATTCTCTCTCTCTCAAACTTGTTTCTCTCTCCTGAAGATAAAGCAGAGAGAGAAGAGAAGGAGGAGAAAGAAGACTTGCACCTAACACGTTCTCTCAACGAAGGAAGAGAAGAAAGAAAAATGGGAAAAGAGGTTGAAGCGGTGCAAGTGCAACAACATGCGCCTATTGCATCCAAATTTCCGTTGAACTTTTGGGAATCAATGGTGGCTTCAACCGTATTGTTGGGCTTCGGATTGGGCCTTGCCGGTGTTTACCTAACCTTGCCTGATTCCGATTACAGCTTCCTCAAACTCCCTCGCACTCTCGAAGATCTTCAACTTCTACGGTAATCAATCAATGAAAAAAAACTACCTTTTACCTCGGTGTCGCTAATTTTTATTTATTTATTTTAATGTATGTATTTTTGTAGAATCTAATTTATCACAACCATTATTAGTTTGCCGTAAATGTTTTTAATTTTATGAGGGTCATTCTTGTGTATGCGCTAATATTATTATCTTTTCATGGAAAGTTTGGTTCTTCTGTTGAGTTAATCTGACCTAGAACGTTAATTTATGTCAAATGCGTCAATCCATAACTAATTTATTCTCCGTTGGAGTTGCTCTCAATTTAATATGTATATTTGTAATAAGGACAAATATTATAATTAATGAGATTGTAAACATATTGACCTTTTTCAATTTTTTTGTCTTATATTGTAAATATAAGCTTCTTATTTGTGCTCTCTTTATTATCATTTGGAACAACAGAACTGAAAATTCTGGGATAGATCCAAATTCTTAAAGGGAAAAGGGAAATCTGGAGTATATTTATATAAGAATTTATAAGCTTGCGACTATCTATAGGTTATACTCTGCTAAAAGGTTATGCTGAGTCAAAAAAGATGGTATCTTTACTTTGAAGTTGTGTGTTTTTTCTAGTTGAAGGTTCGCGTGCTAGGACGGAGAATATGATTGTAGTTGCACTGGTTCTTTAAATAGGAATATCTAATCTCACAGTTCTTCCATTAGTGACGAATATGGGTAGTTTGCACCTCGCGGGTGGTTCTAGTTTCAAATGTCTGTCATTTTGTATAAGATGCACCTTTAAACAAGCCTTTTGGCTGGGCATAAAATATATTTTGATGGTTCGAATTTATTGTGTTTGACTTTCACTTATTGGATAATGTTCTCAAGGTATGTCTTTTGCATCTAGGATATGGGCTTCAAGAGAGGAATTTATCATCATTGTTACCATAGCAACCCCACTTCTAGATCACAACTATATGTATATATAGAGACTATCTGATGCCTAGCCCTCAAACTTTTGACCAGATTTTATAAAACCTATACTTATCTTCTTAATAATTTGTTCTGCATTAGAAACAGACAATAAATGATGGGATCTATTGTGTTTTAAGACAGTCATTTGACTTTGCTTTTTATTTCAAAGTATCAATATAATTTGTTTCTTCTTTTTTGGGGTACTAATCTCTCCTCTTATATTTGTATATCTATAGAATGGGAACTGTAGTGCATTTTAAATGTTGAATGAATATAAACCGTGCAATGCTTATATATCTTTTATTCATTTTTGTAGAGATAACCTTGAAATTTATACCAGTGACTATACGGCACAAGTTCTGGTGGGATACTGTGTGGTATATATTTTCATGCAGACTTTCATGATTCCAGGGACTGTTTTCATGTCGTTGCTTGCTGGAGCACTCTTCGGAGTCTTTAAAGGTGTAGCTCTGGTTGTGTTCACTGCCACAGCTGGAGCTTCTTCATGCTATTTCCTGTCAAAAATTATTGGACGACCCCTTCTCTCCTCGCTTTGGCCAGAGAAGTTGAAATTCTTTCAAAACCAGGTTTATATCAACTTCTGATAGTACATATTGCAATTAAATTTAAATCCAATCTGCACATGGAATTAATTTATGCTTTTAATTTACAGGTGGCTAGACGTAGAAAGAGTTTGTTGAATTACATGCTTTTTCTGAGACTGACTCCAACCTTACCTAACACATTCATCAATTTTGCATCTCCAATCATGGATGTTCCTTATCACATTTTCTTCATGGGAACTGTTATTGGACTCATCCCTGCAGCTTATGTTACCGTCAGGGTATGTAGTTATCAAAATTATTACATTCGTTTATGTACTGAAGTTTTTCGCGTTTTTAGGTTCTTGTGGAGCTGTTCTCCAATAAAAAATATAACATGTGCGGGAACATTGTCACATCCTTATTGGAGAATAACACCTAAGTTTTATCCTTTAGCATATTGTGAATTGTTCACTAGAAACTGCAAAAATATGAATCAAGCATAACAACAAAGTAACACTCTTAATTTGAAACTGAAATAAATAAGAGTACATTCTACTTAAACTTACTGTGAATATTCCACATCTGGTACTAATGTCCTTTCCAACCCCGTTCTTCCCTTTTGAACAGGGTCCTAAAAAATCTTGGATTATAAGTTTTGACTTGTAGCTCTTAAACGACCGTAACATTAATGATAAAAATTTCAAATGTCATTGAGTTGATGCGTATGAGTTTCTTGTTTTCTTATGCAGGCTGGGTTAGCGCTTGGAGAGTTGCAATCCATAGGTGATCTCTATGATTTCAACTCAATTGCTACGTTGTTCCTTATAGGTATTGTTTCAGTTACACCTACCCTAATGAGCAAGGATGAGTCATAGCACATTTCATAAGTCAAGAATCATGTGCATGAAGAAGCCTTCTTCTCATGACAGCTAAATACCAACCAGTACTGTACAGATCTCTATAAAACAATGGCAGTGTGGTTTTTTCTACTGTTGGATTTTATTGCGGAGGTACCGCTGTAATCATATGATTGGTGGTTACAATTACAGTGGCAATAAAACAAGTTCAGTTGAATTAGTTATGTACATTAACATAATAACATTGTTCATAAGTTGTCATGTATAAAAGTAAAACATGTGTTTCTTTAATAGTAGTTGCTTTATCATGTTTGCATTGTACAATAATTTAGTTAGCATTTGTTTTCCCCATCTACCTATCATTCAGGTTGCACATTAGTTAATAGTTACTCAATGTCATTGCACAAGACTTAATCAAATCGAAATTAATCAAATCGGTGCATTATCTTTATGATTGGTAGGTTGTGATTTTGGTGCCAGGCTTTTATCACTGGGATGGTAAGGGAAGTTTTAAAAGAAGTAACGTCCTACCTAGTATTTAGTATAATCATTTAAATGATATTTAATGATGGTTCATATAAGATACCAATTGTTTATTTAGTGCTCAAATAAGAATCTCGTTTATTTTGTATGTAAGACTTTTTATTTTCTAATTATAAACAAGCACTGTAGAATCATGTGTAGTGTACATGTGTTACAATAGTCCGTGGGATTTTAAACACGCCCACTGCATTGCCTTTCTCTTTTGTGTTCCTTATTGATCTTCTATATTCTTTGCTTTTCTGCTTCGTTTCCTCCTTTCTTTGTAAGACCGTTTTTTTGATTATATGCGAAATAGATTCACTCATTTGCCCATTTTTTAGTTTTGTTTTCTTCCTGGATTTCAGTGAAATTGCTTGTTTTATTTTGTGGAATTGATATTGCCCCCCTAGGTCTTATTTTGTTTTAAACACAGAGCATTTCCATTCTTTGGCACATGTGTGGTATGTCCTTGTACATTTTGGGACCAACATGGTATTTGTGCAATGAATTTAAGTTTTCTTGATGTGGTGTCAGCGGTCATAATTTAAGGGAAAAGTAAGAAAATTTCAAATAAATTATGATGTAATGTTATTTTTAATGCCTCAAAAAGATATAATATAATGTAATTTGTTTAACTTCATATAATATATCAAAAAATTTGTTTATTTTATCTCAATTATTTTATTTAATCTCGTTTTATTTTATTATATAGATTTTTATTTTTTTAATTATTAAACAAAGGCTTGTATGCCCGTTAGTCCATTTTTAAATAGTCCAACATTGCTAAGATTTTAAACCGAACCACTTAAAAGAGGTGCTGCAACTTGCTTTGTAACTGCCAATAATATGTCGGTGGCATAGCTCCGATGACCAAAAGTTTAAGAGTTAAATTCCTAGAAACGCCACTTATTAAGAGATATAGTCACATACCCCAAAATAGATTTTCTTTATCCATAGAGATAAAAAAAATCATTTCTTTAACTACATAAATCACTATCAGTAGTTCAGTACCCTATACCCTATATATACAATTATACACTATATGTGTGTATGTGTTCATTTAAAGCCTAAAGAAAGAAGCTACAGTTTTTACTGCCTGATTTTAACTGAACTTAGTTCTTTTCCACTTTACTACACACATGCCAAAATAGATGTTATTAGCATATTCCGAATAAGTTTAGGAACGGCAAAAGAATAATTCCAATGACAAGACATGCCACCAGCACCAGCCAGGACTTACACATGATCTTACAGTAATCTAATGTTACATATCAAAAGTGAAACGATAATGTAAAAAAAATGACCAAGACAAGATTAAAGAATTTCAATCTCTCCCCTGCCAAACGCAGCCTCAAATCAAGTCTCACTGCATGTTCATAAATTGAGAACATAGTCTGGTGAAACCTCGAATTGCCTTCAAATCAATATCATATCATTGTGGTAAATTGCCTTCTCCGTGTGCATACATATGTGTATATCAGCCATTGGAGCTAGTGACTTCTAACCACAGAGCACAGATAATCCGAGGTAGCTTTAAAAAATGCTACCTGTCCCTTTTGAATTTCTTATGTCGTAGGGAGCTATCTGGAGTGTGAGCGTTGAACTTACGTTTTACCCCAGTTGCTTGTTTTGATGGAGCAGCATCCATGTGAGAGTTTGCTTTAGCCTTTCTGGCAGCAACCGAAGGTCGTTTCACCAAGCGCTCTTTTGGTTTTTCTCCACCATGACCTTTCTTTTGTATATCGGATTTGTTTGCGCGCAGACCCTGGTAAGATGCCTTAGTTTTTCTGTCTGACCTGTTATCACTGCTTAAAGGAGACCTTGAACCCAAGGCCATCTTCTTTGCAGGGGTACTAGGAGCTCGTGCAGGTGATAGGTATGGCCTTTTAGATGGGGTGGCGTCAGCTTTGGCATGAGAGATTCTCAAATTTCGGTCTCGAAGCTTCAAGTTCCGTTTCCTAATGACAAAATTAGCAGCTTCCAGCATTTACATTACACTACAATAAGCATTTACATACATGGTTTCAGGTGCCAAGACCTACAGGCTGGAAACAAGTTTGATCATTCTCTATGCCATTTAATAATACATGCAAAAATATTTCCTGTAATAATTACAACCAAGCACTTCTCAAAGTGATTTCTGAATGTGTGCCCATGGACACTGAACATGCGTCCACTGGGATGTTCAGAATTAAATCATACCACACCAATTTGAATGTCAATACGGTATGGTTCTACATCAGTGACACCCTCAAGAGTTAATTGTGTAAGACCAAGAAATCAGAATCACCAATTTTTTAAATTATTAATCAATGTGCATAGAGCACTTTTTTACAAAACCTATATTATAAATATATTCGGCGCCACCAAATTATTCCTTCAAAGATCGTAGTGTCACCAACTAACTCTTGCATAAAAAATATCACCAAATTGGTCCATGAAAGATTAAATTTGCTACCAAGTTTTTCACCCATAATTTAATCTTTAAGGGACTAATATGATGGCAAATTTAATCTTTGAAGGACTAGTACGGTGACAAATTTCTTTAGATGACTAAGTTGGTGGAAAATTTAATCTTTGAATGACTAAATTGGTGGTAAAGGTAATATTTGAAGGACTTATATGTTGGCAAATTTGATTGGAGAACTAACTATTAACTCTACAACTATAAAGAGACCAGAGATGCCCCACCAAAAGAGAAGCACGTGATAATATTAGTTATAACATGCTTAATCTGTTGACCAGATAGTAAGAAACTTAATAAAAATGTAATGCAGATCAGGCACCAAAACAGCATACCCTTGTTTTAAACAGCACATAGGCAATTCCCTTTCCAACATTAAGATGAGAATCTCTAATGACTCTAACAGCTTCTACATTGGATTCCAGGTCGGATTTACCACAAAATAACTGATATAGTTCTTCATCCTGCAGAGAAGGATCAAAGCTTAGACCTATTAGCCAATATAGGTTTAACAATGAATTAATACTGTAATCCAAAATTCATACTGTTAGATATATAAAAACATTTATGTGCTTTCACCCAACAGCTTAAGATTTTGGGGGAGTTGATTCTTGACACAAACATAAAACAAGTGACTGTAAAGTGGAAACACACCTTCACATCACATGGGAGGTTGCCCACAAAAACTGTTCTCTTGTTATCATAAAGCAGAGCACTCTCGCCTTTCTGTTTCTTGCGGGGTGGACATGCCCTGTCAACACGAATGTGATTTCCTTCCACCTATAGCCAGACAATTAAACAGCATCAGAAAACTGTAAATTGCAGTTCTTCACCCAATATCAGAGCAAATACCATGTATGGCCCAAGCCCAACTTTGAAGAACAAGGCCATACCACAGCCATATTGTGTGACAAAGAAGCCTGGGCAGATTCCTCTGTTTTGAAAACAATGTATGCATGAACACTGCAAGACACAATATTTGTCAATTACAATTCAAATCAAACAATCTACAATTCACTTAACATCATTGGTGAGAAAACAAAACTAATTTTGCATTATAATACATAAAAGGAACTTTTTTGTCCTCCTTCAAGAAAAAGCATTTAATCAAAATAGAGTGATTTCTCCAAGCACAAAATAAACAAGCTTTACCATGATATTAAATCCATAAAATCACACTGTTAAAATGACATACAAAATAACTAATGTATTCTCAAAAACAACAAGCATTCTTAACAAGTAGCAGCAAGATAAATATTCAGTTCAGACCCATTACTTATCACCATCGTCTTTTATTTTCTTTGCAAGAATAGCTCCCTTCCTAGGTTTTTTGGTCTGGTTAAAAAACAGAAGGAACAAACATCAAGTTAGTGTCTCAAGAGCATAAATTACTAAATGAAACGAAAGACACATTGAATAAAAAGTACCTACATCTTGTATTGGAACAGAACGAATCCTCACAGATTCAACCTCACCAAATTTCTTAAACTCGTTCAACAAAGTTTTCTTCTTCACCTTAAGAGGCAAATTTCCAACAAAAACAGTCCTCAAGAGCTTATCTTCGTCATCGAAACCTTCCTTCGGAACAAGCATATCAGCAGCATTATCCAATGTTTTCCTCTTTTTCCCAACAGTTTTCTTTTCCAACCCTTCTCCCTCCAATTCACCTTCCATCACCCCATACTTCTTCTCCTCCCACTCTTTCTCAAGCTCTTCCCTTTTCCTCTTATTCTTCCTCTCATCGCCTTCATTATCACCCTCGCCTTTTTCAGTTGTTTCTGCAATCAAGTCACAACTTTTGTTCTCTTCATCAGAACCATGATTCTTCTTCTTCTTTTTCATCTTCCTCTCAGTTTCATCATCTTCCTTCGCAACCTCGCTGTACCCAATTGGTTCCACAGACAGTGCAGAACCTTTGTTCTCTTCATCAGAAGCTTGTTTCTTCTTCTTTTTATCCTTCTTCTCTGAAACTTCGATTAATGAATTGGGGTCAGCAGTTGCGGTGGTTGTTTTCTCCTCCTTGTTCCGCTTCCTCATCTTGTCATCAATGGAATCGTGGTTCTCGGAGACGCCATTGTTTAGGGTTTGAGAGGATTTGGGTGATTCAGAAATGGGAACATATTGTTGAGGCTTTCTTCGAAATGGGTTGTTATCGGAAAATAGAGAGGCGGAGGAGGAGGAAGCGACGGTGGGAATATCTTCCGACGCGTTATCGAAGAGTGTGGTGAAAATGCCAGAAGGGGGTAAAACGGCGTCGGTTTGAGGGTTTTGTTTTGGGTCTTTTGTTTTCTTTTTCGCCATAGTACAGTTGGACGAGATGAATCAGAGATTGATCAACCGGTTTTTATGTTCCGACCAAGAAAGACGTTGTTTCTTGAAGAAACCCTAAATTCAGTTTAAAAATTCTAGGAACCCCAAATTAGCAAGGTAACAACTAACGACTAGCAAACTTCAAATTTTAGTCGTTTGATAAAAGTATAATTGAATTAGTTAATAAAAGACTATATTATACTCAAATTTAATCCATTTAAGGAATAAACTCAATTTTTAATTCAATTTCTTTAATTTATAAACCAATTTTTTAAGTCAATTAATAAGTGGAGTTTTAAAAAATATCCATTTTTTATTAACCGTGAGAGATATAGGCTATGTTTAGAAAAACTATCTTTTAATTTTGAGTTTGTAACTTATATAGTTATGAGCTTAAAACTTTGAAAATAATTGGAAGTTAGTAATTGTGCAACTAGTTTATTCAAATAAAGTTATTATTATTTGTTTTGTTTTAATATATTTTTTTGTTTTCAATATTTTTTTCACAAATGAAATGGAATTAAGTTACATAACTTTATAATGTTTTTCATTACTCGTTAAAGTATATAATATGTAAATACTTTATACATTCAAATAATAATCAAATGTAAGAATAATGTACATAAAAAACTATTGGGAAATGGTAAAGGACATCTAATATAATTTTAAATTGAGAATATCTAATATAATTTTTAAAATATTAAAAGATAAAATTGTTAAGCTGATTATTATGAACTACTTTCGATTTCTAAATTTTATTATTTGAAATAACTTTTTGAAAATTAATTTTTAAAGCACCATAAACTCTTTTTTTTTTTCTAAAGCTAGAAGCTAGCTAGCTACTCTAGTAATTTGTACCTAGGTGAAAAAGCTAATTGCATAGAAGTTAGAAGCATGCATATTCACGGAGTCTAGCTTTCCGTACATTTATGATGGTTGAAAGTGGAAACAAGAATCCAACATCTTCTCTCCTCTGACTTAGACTTGTTATGAGTGCGCGTGTCGATCTTTGAATCGACAACTACCTTCTCCCTTCCTACCTATCTACCCTCCACACTCTTTCAATGCTATCTACCCAACCCCCCCTCTTTATTTATATACATCTAACTTCAAACCCTCTCTCTTTCTATGTAAACAAACCTCTACAATCACAACACAACACACATAATCCTATTTCTCATTTCTCATCAACAACAAAATAGATGGCACCTTCATTCGAACCTAGTACTCACACAGTTTGTGTAATGGACGCTTCTGCTCAACTGGGCTTCACCCTCGTCCAAACGCTACTTCAAAGGGGCTACACTGTTCATGCCTCCCTTCAAAACCATGGTATTTCTTTTTTATATTACCTTTACTAACACTTTTTTCTTTTTTCTTCTTTTAAATTAAATTGTTTTTCTTTGCCTTGGGTTTTGATTGTTTTTTTCTTAGGGAATGAATTGCTCAATGGGATTTCAGCTGATCCCAATAAGCTCAAGATTTTCAGATCAGACCCTTTTGATTATCACAGCATAATTGATGCACTCAGAGGCTGCTCTGGCTTGTTCTACTCCTTTGAACCACCCCTTGATCAACCCCACTATGATGTAACCTCCATTTCTTTTCTCTCTTTAATTTGCTTTCTACATTAGAATCAAAAGTTATGGTAATCATTTTATATTATGTTAAACTAGGCTCACATGTTAAGCTAGAGTCTTATGCACACAATACAATTCAACCTATATCTATATTAAACAAGTTGTGGGGAAAAAAACTAAACTATGGAAAAAACTTAGTTAATTAAACAAATCACATGGAACCAAATTTGTAGGGATTAACTTGGAAATATTTGTCTCGTGGGAACCTGACTCACAACAATAAATAAATATATAAATAAAGAAATAAAGGAGTTAATGTGTGTGCAGTTTTTGTTGGGGGATAGGAGTTAGGTGATAGAGCAGTGTTTGTTAGCGTTAGTCTTTAAAAGAAGTAGGTCTACTTATTAAGTGGGAGGCACAATTTGCCTGAGTTTCAAACTTCATTACTTGTTTCCCAACATCTTGGTGGGTTCAACCCTTTCCTATCTGCCAGGTCATGACAACCAAGCAATTCATACTGTTTAATTTTGAGTTGGTTATTCT